GATGAATCTGTTTGTTTTCCTGGCAGTCCATGGTACATTCAGTACTCTTCTCCAGCACCACAGCTCAAAGGTATCAGCTCTCCTTCTGTCCTCCCTAGTCATTGTCCAACTCTCTGATGCATAACAAGCGATTGCAAAGACCATGGAGGCACTAGATAACTTAATATGGTGCTGCTCTAACAGAAAATGTCAAAGTGATTTTGGAACTGGGTAAGGGATGGAGACTGGAAGTGTTTTAAAGTACCTAACAGTAAAAGTCTAATGAGCTCTGGTGGCATAGTGTGTTACGTGTCTGCTAGCCAAAAGGGTAACAGGACAAAGAAGGACAGTCTTCTCCATAAATATTTACAACCTCAGAAACCTTATGGGGAGTCTCCATGGTTTGGAACCTATTTGATATCAGTGAATTTGGTTTTGGGGAATAATAAAAACCTATATTGTCTGGATCAGGTGCACTTTGGTCTCCAGACTGACCTTGTTGCCTTTTATACTCTGGAGAGATTGCTGACAGCAGATTGTCCCAGTGCAGTTCATCTTTTGATTTCCTGACTGCTGGTGTCAAGAGTGTTTGATTATGGAGCCAAGCAAGTTGTAATTGTTAAAAATTTCAATCTTTTGTCCATCTATCATGGTGCTGCCAGTTGGCCCAGTGGCGAGAATCTTTGTCTTCTTGATGTTGAACTTCAATTCATATTGAAGACTACAGTCCTTGACCTTCTTCAGCAAGCGCTTCAGGTCCTCCTCAGTTTAAGCAAGCAAGGTTGTGTCATCTGCATAAAGTAGGTTGTTGATGAGTCTAGACTCCAGTCCTGATGCCACATTCCTCCTCAGAAAATATAGCTTCACAAAATAATCTGTTCTGCATATAGATTGAAAAGGTATGCACTACAGAAGAAGAATTGATGCCTTTTAGTTGTAGTGCTTCAGAAGAATCTTGAACATACCCTAGACTGCCAAGAAAACGGTTCTGTCTTGGAGAGGGTGAAACCAAGTTTCTCCTTGGAGGCCAGGATTTTGAAGCTCAGTCTCACATACTTTTTGCATGTGGCCAGGAGGGCCCGGTCCTTAGAGAAGGGCATCGTGCTCATAAGGGTGAAGGGACAGACCAAAGAGGAAGACCCCAGATGAGATGGATTGATTCAGAAAGTGAGGTAATGGGTGTAGGTGTGTCAGAATCAGTAAGACTGGATAGATACAGGGCAAGCTTCAGAGCTGCTGTACAAAGGATCGCTATGAGTCGCAGGCCACTCGATAGCATATAACAACATGTTGCCTTGAAGAAAACTGTTGGTGGAATTATAGACATCAAAGGCAGTTCTAACGATGGCTCAGAGGTAAGTGAGGAGTACTATAGAGTGAGCGAGGCTGTTGTCTTCGGAATGCATAAATTGGAATCAAATTGGAATTGACCTGTAGCAGACTCTCCAGCAGGTTTTCAGGGCAGTAAATCCTATGACAGGAAATTATCCATTCTTCTCCCGTGGAGCAGAATGACTCCAAGATGGATTCACATTTTGTGCTTAGGAATACATAGAATGCCAGTGTATTAAAAATTCATTCTGCTCTAGCCTGACAAATTGCAAAATGTAATTCCAAAAAGTGTAAAGTCACCAGTAACCCAGATGTTTGATTTGCTGTATAACTCCAAGATTTCTGACCTCCTCGGTCTATCCTTTGTTCAGTTTCCTCACTCCTCTGTGTCCCTTGGGTTTGATGATTCACTGTAGGGTCTTCCAGAGACTCACACCTTTCAGAGGAATATCTCACACAACTGTAGGTATGCAGGCTGGTTTTGCAGAGACTTGTGAGCATTGGAAACTGTTAGTTGAAGTGCAGGTGGAAGGTGGGCGTCCCAAAAATAGAGAACTAGCACTGAAGTTCCATGAGCTTACATAAGTCTCTTGTAGGGGGGAGCTTGTATCTCACCCTAATCCTCTCCCCTTAATACAATAAATACTTCCACACAAAAGAAACAGATAATCAAGTGATAAGAAGCTGCACTGTAATTCCAAAGGCACATGGTTCAAATCCACCAGCTGTCAGCTGCTCCACAGAAGAAGGATGAGTAGTCAGTCTGCTCCTGCTGGAGGGCCAACTATGGGTGGGTTCAGACTTGAAGGTACACAACAACAGTGAGACTTTAAGAGAAAATGTGATTAAACAATGGAACATCATTGCTTTTTAATGCAGTGACAAACAACTTGTGTGAGTTATTTTCAGATGTTTTATAGAACTTATAAGT